CTGTCTGTTCCGACTTTAGTACATGTGCTGCCGAATGGAGCAAGAGATATGATAGCTTTGTGACAAAGGCTTTTGGGGTGTGGTGCAAGCTTCTCCTCTCCTGATGGTGGACGGTGACACTTCTCATAAGGGATTGACGCAACCAGATTCTTTCCGGAGGTTCTGCTTTTAGGCAAATAAGGAAGTTTGCAGGGGGAGTGGTGGGGGAGCCTATTCTCAAATTCCTTCAGTTCAGGATGATTTTTATGACACGGTGGCATATTCTGGACCCTGTCGCTGCCGTCTAATACAGAATAACCCTAAACTAAGAATATTTCAAGTTGATGGTTAGGTTATATTAACCCAGTCGACAAAGATTTCTTGGAAACCCACTAAGCGTCCGGCATTGCGGTAGGGGTGGATAAAGATGAAAACCATGGCCTTGGTGTTCAACAGCGACAACTAGAGGCCGCGGGGCTCCAATGCATCCTGGCATTAACGATGCTTTGTAGACTAGAGACTTTTGGACTTGCAGCCTTAACTGTGATGATTGTGATTTTCTGGAGTGAATCTTTGAGGTCTGGCATGAAGTCGCCAGTCATAATGCTTGTATCACCAAATTGTGTTCCTGAGTGGGTCGTTTGACTAAGTGAGCTTTAGCAATCACCCCGAGTCGACTCCTCAACACTTCGGGCTCCTCCCTTCACTTGTCAAGTAACAAACTGAGGGAAGACGCTTCAGTATTTCACTCATGTTTCATTTATCTGAAAGGGAGCCCGCACGTTCTGGTGACGCTCGTGTGTTCCTGAACCCCAAGGATCTGTTCACAGATAAAAGCAAAGGCCTTAACAATTAGCTTAAAATAAGACAAAATATTATCTTTTTTAAAAAAAGAAATTAGCACCTGGCTGGCATAGCTCAGTGGATTGAGCGTGGGCTGAGAACCAAAGTGTCGCAGGTTTGATTCCCAGTCAGGGTACATGCCTGATTGCAGGCCATGACCCCCAGCAACCACACACTGATGTTTCTCTCTCTATCTCCCTCCCTTCCCTCTCTAAAAATAAATAAATAAAATCATTTAAAAAATAAAAGAAGAAATTATTCAAGACATGGACAGAGAAATAGAGTATAGTTCTGTTGTCTTAAAAGTCTTCATTAGCGCTGGTTAGGTAATGGGCTTTGGACAAGACTAGGCATTCTGCTTTCAAATGTGCTCAGAGTCTAGATTCTGTACTAACATTTTCATAGCAGTGTCCAGGCCAGGGCTGGCAATGTTTTTGACAAATGAAATCTCAAATTAACAGGCAATTACACTGCTTTTCCATTCTGCTATTGGAACAGGGAACCATCATACTTATTCAGAGCTTTGGAGGAAATTCATACTTACTCAGAGCTTTGGAGGAAATTCATTGGTCCCCTCCTTCCTTTCTCCCTTAAACGTCTAAAGAATATTCATGTACTGGGCTCTGTAATGGACACAGAGCACACAGAGATGGAACTACATCCGAGATTCTGGGGGATGATGTAAACGTTCCCTAGAAGATGCCTGGGTTAAGCTTCACTGGACTGAGAGAGGAGGGACTGGGGGGAAGGGCATAAGTGACATTGCTCAGAGAGGACCTCGGAGTGCTCCCAATAGACAGAGGGACAGTGCCACTGGAGTGGGATGAATGAGCTGGGAGGGGAGGGACTCAATACAGAGCTGAGGAGATATCTGAAGTTCAGATCGTGCAGAGACCTTATGGAGCATATAATCATTGTTTTTTCCCTTCATCCTAGGATCAAAGGGAAGTCAGTGACAGAGTGGAAGTGGCAAGCATAGCTGGGGACAGGGTGACATTGCAAAGGCTGCTGCTCTAGTCAGAACCTGAAGGTGGCACTGGGCAGGGAGGCAGCGATGCAGAGAGTAAACAGACTCACAGAGTATGTAGCTTGTAGCCTGGGGCGGGGGGGTTGCTGATGGGTTGGATTTGGGGATGTAGAGAAAGAAGAGGTCAAGTTCAAGAGGGCCTCTTAAGTCTGGTTCGCACAGCTGGATGGATGGTGGCGTGATTAATATTTCAAACTTGGGGAGACAGGAGATGAGCATGGAGAGATGTCTTTACAACGCTGTCTTTACAACGCTGAGTGCACTTCTGGAGTTGAAATGTAAATCAGGGGTCGAGAAGCTTGTTTTTGTAAGTCTCAGTACCTCTGAGAAAGCTGGAGCTCAAGTGTACTGTTGGACTCCTTTGCACTTGACTTGGGTTGAGCAAGTTCTGTGATTGATTTTAGTGAAATAAAGTCACTTGTTTCAGGATGAACTTAGAAATGAAAATTCAGTGACACCATAAAAAGGAGGAAAATGCTTGGGATGCTTTCAGTAATGCTGTACAACTGAATGCATTCTTAAATACAATCTTGTGTTTTGTGAAATTACGACCCCTCCGTTGGTAGAGTTGATCTCGATTTATACGCCCTCACAGTTGCACCTGAGACGGCACATGCTCTCTTCCTAGCAAAAGAAGCTTTCAGATAAACTGGAAGGCTTTCAAGGGAGAACAGCCAAGGTAATTAGGCACTGAAAGAATTGATTTATGAGCCCAGGGTAGAAGAGGTAAATGTATTTTGTTTAGCTAACTACAAATAAAAGGGGAGTGAAGTCAATCAGCAGTGAAGACAAAGGAAACAATTAGGCTTTATGTAGGAATTTGAAAGACATTGTCCTCCTTTACTGCTTCTCTCTCCTCCAAACTCTCTTCACTCTTCAAACGTTAGGAGGAATGTTTTGTGACATGAACCAAGAAGCATCTGATGTTGAAAGCAATTAAAGCATACTGAAAATATTTCAGGTGGCCTGGGACTGTGGTGTCCTACCACCTGGTTTGCTGGACACAGCCAACTCCCCCACGGGAAATAGTTATGCGAAGGCAGAGAAGCACTAGTATGGGCCCTTCCTTATAAATCTTTCAGGGGAATGTCGCTTCATTAGTGATTGTCACTACAATGCACATCACATGAGCTTAATAAAACTGCGCTTCAGAGTCTGATGATGGGGTTCGTTTTGTACGACTTTGGTTTCCTAAATGTTTGATTGATTTTGTCAACCTCTGCCCCCTCTCCAAATAATGATTTGTTTAATGGCCTGGGGCCCCAGGCTGGAAAGCAGATCACACCAAGTGGGAGATCCGAGAAAGGGGGTGGATGGTCTGCATGGGGTGGGCGCCCAGAGCACCCTGAATGTGAGACCTCTGGCTCCAAGTTGAATCTTCTTCCTCGTTACCACTGAGGATTTACCAGCTGTGTGACCTTGGAGAGTCATTTGATGTCTCTGATCCTCAGCATCCTCAACTGTAAAATAGGAAAGCAATTCCTACCTCTCCGGGCTGTAGCAAGGCTGAATGAAATGAGCTAGTGAGTGTAAGATGCTTTAACCCAGAACTGGGTATTTAAAGAAGCACCCCTTTTAAGAGGCAAGTAACCCTCAAGAGGAGCAGGTCTCCTTCCCACCTTCAGGGGTGGGCAGCATCCACTCTGCTCAGGATTACAGCTCTGCAGGTCTGGATCTTTTGGATCCAGTCAAAAGAAGGGAACGTTTCAGATCTGGAAGTAATATTCGGGGGTTTGAGGTAACTTTGGGCAACCAAAGGACCCTGGGCCACCAGAGAGACCAGAAGAGGAAGCAAGAGGTTAAGGAGGAGGCTGGGGCCAGGCTGTGCCCACGGCTGTTCACCAAGACCCAGGGTAGCTGCCCAGATCCCTGTAGCTAGGCTAGTGGCTAATGCCCCAGTGGTTTGGGAAAAGGCAGGTTCCATTTTTCATGCATTCGCCCGCACTGGCCCAGGCCCTCCTGTCCCACGTAGTACAGTTTCTCTAAATTCACCCCCGTTGGGAGGGCGAGGAGAGGCAGGAAGGGTGGACAGGAGGAAGGGAACAAGTGGGAACAGAGAAAAGACAACTGGCTGCTCCCGCCCCTCCCACTCCTGCTCCTAGTTCATTAGGGAGGTGGAGCATTCGCGATAAATCTTATTCAGGAGCGTTCACACTGGAGCCCCAGGAATTTCCATCTGCTGCAGTTTTAGAAAAATGAGCCTTTGGCCATCACACATGTTCGTCTAGTAAGGAGACCATCAACAGTCTGTGTACTTATCCACATGGCATGCACATGTGTGTGTCTGCAAAGCATTTTTTCTCCTTCCATAAGTTATGCATTGTTGTAGAAGACTTAGCAAATACTAAAAATAAAATGTAAGTGGAGGGAAATTGAAATAACGTGACATCATGCCACCCAGAAGCAGCCACTGTGCACATTTCCCTGCACTCGGTCCTGCCTTGTTTTCTCGCTCCGTGTGTGTTCCGGACCGTGTTCTTGTGGTTCCTGTTGTCACGTCTCGCTGCCCTTTCCCTGGTCATTCCCACCAACCCGGGCCCCTGGCGTGCTCTCCAAGGTGGCTGCCTCGGCTCTCTCCTGCCCTTGACTGCTGTCAGGTCTGCGTGTCCTGCTGTCTGCCGGTGGGACACGTGCCCGAGCTCCTCCCACTGTGACGTTCCACTCGGAACTCGTGCTCCCCTCTGCTCTCCCCTCGTCTGCCTCCCTCTCAGTCGTCCTGGTCAGAATCCCCTCACCCCCGTCTCCCTCAGCCACAATCCTCGCTGGTTTTCACAGCCCGTAGTTACGGGGACTCCTCTTCCTGGCACTGGAACTCTGAGCTGGGGGTCCCCTCACTCCTCAGAGGGGACCTCCGCAGCCGAGGTATCTCTCCTGATTTTTATCCACATGCCACACGGGGTGTGGACCCAGCCCACTCCAAGCCTCCACCCCTCCTACCAGTCTCCATGTGACTGTTCTTCATGTCCTTAGTTGTAGGGCTTCAAACTTTAGTTTATGGGAAGTCCACGTATGCCCCTCTGGAACTTTTAAAGGCAGTTTCCCGGGCCTACCAAGTGTGCCCAAGTGCTGGCAAATGCACGTCCCTCAGGAAGATACATGACGTAAACAGATAACTGACGTCTCACCTGCTGACACCCTCGTGTGCTTCCAGGCCGCCCTGGCGGGGGGCACCACCACGATCATCGATTTCGCCATTCCTCCGAAAGGCGGCTCCCTCGTCGAGGCCTTCGAGACCTGGCGCAGCTGGGCGGACCCCAAGGTGTGCTGCGACTACAGCCTTCACGTGGCGGTGACCTGGTGGAGTGACCAGGTAACCCTCCGCGCGCGCTAGTTTCTTCCATTTAGTTCCCCGGTCCTTGCTCTGTACACGATCCAGAGATTTCACACTACAAGACACTGGTGGGCGGCTGGAGGTCAGAACAGGGGGGAAGACTCTACTGCATGCTCTTTTGTGCTTTCTGAATGTTGATTCCTGGAAAGTATTGTCAATTTTTAAAACTAAAATTTTTAAAAAATCATAGACAGATGATAGCAAAAATGCTTCCTAATAATTCACAATAGACTTCCCTAATATTTAATTCATGACGTGTAATGTTTTTAAAGTTCGGATCTCCCTTTCAACTCCAACTTTTCCAGCTCTTGTAAATGGTGTTTTTCCACAGACTAGAACTTTAATTAGAAATGTGGAATTTTGGGAGAAAAGCCAAGGAGATTCCCACTTAGATGCCTCCATTCCCCACTCTCGGCCCTTGCCACCCACCCTCCCGTGCACTTGACAGAGAACAGGAAAGACCGGGAAGGTTTTCAAGGTCTCCTCCCAGCTGTCTCCTGACCTGGCGCTTGGGCTGTGGCGCCACTAATCTCACTGCCTGCTCAGATCCTTTCATGAAGCAGCTTAAAGCAGCCTTCCGAGTCTGCTAGTTACTGATGCTGCTGCAGAAACGATACTACGGTTGAGATAAGGAAGATAGTTTTGAGAGATGCTAACATGTGTCCATTTCTCCCCGTATACATTTGCATGTGTACTTTAGAATACATTTTCACTTGTGATTTAAATCAACGTGTTTTTTTCCACATTGGACTTAAATCAGAAATCTCCTTACCAGGAAGCGTGCACAAAGGTGACTTTATTTGACGTTCCCAGGTCACTTTTGCCTCCACCTCCCCTAAAATTTGGGAGGCGTTAGACACCAAGTTAATATGAAACGAGTCATCAATCTTTAACAGATAGGTCAGCAAATATAATAGCAAGGCTCATAGTCCACAGTTAGAGTTAGTTTTTCTCCAAAAATGCCATTCTGAGTGATGCACCCAATCTCTTCCGTGATTTTAGGGTCTTCCTGCCTTCCTCGTTTCCACCCTCCCCTCCCTCCCCTCTTATTCTATTGAAGCAAAAGTGATGATGTTTGCCCTTGCCAGTGCTTCTTACACCTCAATCTGGAAATGGTTACCTGGTGAATACTGTTAAAATACAGACTTTGTTCAGTACGTGTACTGGTTTCCTGGGGCTGCTGTAACGAAGTTCCACACACCAGGGGCTTAAACAACAGCAATTTATGTTCCCACAGTTCTGGAGACTAGAAGGCCAAAGTCAAGGTGCTGGCAGGGTTGGTTCCTTCTGGGGGCTGTGAGGAAGCATCTGTTCCATGCCTCCCCGCAGCCTCTGGTGGTTTGCTGGGCATCTTCAGCCTTCTTTGGCTCCGCCCTGGTCCGGAATCTGCCAGCTTCTAGGAGCTACCGATGGGCAGATCTACACCCTTTACTCCCTCTCTGAGAACTAACTCATCCAGTGGGTTTCTGATTTGAGCCCAAACCCCTCATCTCATGTTGGTTTTGATTCCTTCTAGGGACACTATTGTTTCTGTTGCTGCCTCGTGGCTTTCTCTTCATTTTATAAAATAATTTCCTCATATTGGGAGACAAATGCTGAGAATTTATATCCAAGTATAGAAATGAAGTCCTTTGGGGAAAAAACTATGAACTCTTCCATGATTTCAAAGTCTCATAGCAGCCGATGAAATGGGGTCTAACGAGGAGGAAAGATCAAGGCCTTAACTGCTTTTTATCCAGAGCTAAGCTGTACTTAGTTTACTTCATTCTCCTCCAAATGCAACATCTCGAAAAATATTGAAATTATCTTTGCAATGAAACAGTGACATTTTCCTGCTGTTGTTTCCTTTTAGGTCAAAGAAGAAATGAAAGTGCTCACCGAAGAAAAGGGTGTGAACTCCTTCAAGATGTTCATGGCCTACAAAGATGTGTACATGGTGCGGGACGCAGAGCTGCACGCGGCCTTCTCCCGGTGCAAGGAGATCGGAGCGATCGCCCAGGTGCACGCGGAAAACGGAGACCTGATCGCAGAGGTAAAATTGCCTTCGTAAGCTCCAGTCTCCAGGGACAGGAATCACCGTAGTTTTCTAAGGCGACCATGATTCGCCCTAAGCAGGTAGACTTCAGGCAATGCAGTGAAAGAAACTAATTTTTTGAGGTTGGGAAACAATTTTGTTTGCCGAGTCTCTGCGCTGAGTTTTACTCAAGTGGTATATGCATTTGAATATGGATTTTCCCTTTTCAAACCAGCTATTATTTTAGAAACCAAACATGTTTTATTAGAAAATACAAATATATTTCTTTGGGTAGCCCAGCACTTTTGGAGGGGGGGAGGGTGGGTAACACAGCACAGGCTGCTGCTTCATAATGCCGAAGTGTGGACATCAGCTTGACTTCAGGATTTACACAGTGTATTAGGTAGTTGTTTCAAGTTTCACTCTTTTCAGAAACTGGGTATTAAAGACTGCTCTGGAGGACTCTAGATGATATTTGTTTCTCATGTGAGTTCCGCAAGGGGGCACTGTCTGCAAGATTTACAGAGCTGTCTCTACCCCTTTAGATGAGCTGATTTTTTCTCTCCCCAGGCTCAGTTCCCATTAAAGTCAGTGAGATGGAGGCCCATGGCCAGGTGGCAGTGGAGGATAAAGGGAGGAGAGTGTGAGTTGTGAACTCAGACAGACCAGGGTTTACACTTGACTCTCCCACTTCCCAGCTGTGTGACACAGGGCACGCCCTTTGCCCCCTCGTGGTCTTGACTTCCTTCCTTTTTTTGTAGGGAAGAGGGAACTGACTGGAGAGCGGAAATACTGGTCCAAAACCACTCAGTGGGTGGGAGGGGAGGGCCGAGAAGACTAATTCAGTAACAAGTAGAATTAACTACATGATGCAATACCATGAATCATTTCAACAAATATCTAATATTGGGGATTCGAGTATTTGTCTTTTGTTTTGTTTTGGACCATAAGAAGTCTTAAATATAAACACTGCTTTTCAAAGAATGCTTAGAACTAACCTCTTATCTTTTTCACCTTTTCAATCAAAATAATTTAATTGTGAAATATGCATTTGAAAAATTAACACACACTGTCAGAGAATTGAATTTATTTTTACCAAATACAGACACACACACCTAGACCTAATAGATCTGAAAGTTGGTCCGGGTATTTCTTTTACAGTATGATCATGCCATTTGTCATTAGTAAGCCTTCCTTGCACACGTGTGTTTTCCTGCTGCCTTCTTAGGGAGCAAAGAAGATGTTGGCGTTGGGCATAACAGGCCCCGAGGGACACGAGCTGTGCCGCCCAGAAGCAGTGGAGGCCGAGGCCACGATGAGAGCCATCACTATCGCCAGCGCCGCCAACTGCCCTCTGTACGTCGTGCATGTGATGAGCAAGTCTGCGGCCAAGGTGATAGCAGATGCGAGGAGAGATGGTAATTCCTGATCCACAACCTCACTTGTAACTCTGCGTTAGCTAGAGAGGAAGGTAAAACACCTGCAGTCTCTCTTTTGTTATGGAGACACTTGCACGTGAATTTCCACGACTGATCTTCCTCCCTGACCATCCTCCCTTTTCTCTCTTTCACCCTCACACATGTCTATTTCCATTCTCCTTCGTACTCACCTTCATGCCTGCCTCTCTTCCTTCAGGTTACGTTTTCATTGTCCTTGGAATGGCAAGCCATTTCCTTGAGCCACAAACCCCACCCGAATACCACTAGTGACCCATTTACTAGCCCGATGAACAAAGGCAAACGCTCCAGTTAACTTTAAAGAAGCTTCTCTGTCCTTAGGCATCTCCACGATCCCTCCCAGCACCCAGGTCAGAGTGGTGCAGAGTATGTAGTAGGTTTTGAAATTTTCAAAAATTTTTTGAAATGCATTGATTTGTCTCATAATAACTTGGGTGTTGGTACAATTGAAGCAATTATCCAAATGGTATTTTTATGACAGTTATGTTACAACTTTAAAACCAAAGGTATTTTTACCCCAAATTGCTTAATTGCCTCGGTTCTTTAGTTCAATTTAATATGTAAATAGTCATGATAAAGGAAAGAGAAAATTGATTTTTGATACAAATTGGGTACAGAAATAATTTCATTTCCTTTCATTCATATGAATTGGGTACAGAAATAATTTTCATTCAATGAATGAAAATTTCATCATTTTCATTAATTTTCATTAATTTGTACTGGTTAAGGAAGGATGAAAACCAATTAAAGTACTTATTATTCGATGACTTTAGACCCTCCTGGGATGTGCTAGTAGTTTCTATCACCTCCCTTTTAGAAACCCGAATAATCAGATACCATCTCATAAATCATCCTGGCTGTTTGTTTAAACTGAAACGGACTGCATTTTTATAATATAAATTATAAAAACCATGAAAATCGATTTAGTATGTCTATAATTGACATGAAAATACACTTTTCAAAATTGGCTTTTGTTGTATGAAGTTTCAATAAGGATTTTGCTTTAAATGAATGCATCCTTTTTTTAATTTTTACCTAATTATAAGAGAAAATGTATTTAGAGAGTTACAGAGGTGATAGAAGTGAGCCAGCTGGGCTGTGTAGGCTCAGGAAACAAGTTACAGAAACAGAAGGAGGGCCCTTGGAGTTTAGGAGAGAGAACCCAAGGGTAAGGTCAGGTGGGGAGGGGGAGAGGGGAGGGGCAGGGAAAGGCGGGGGCGTGCTCCCTAGGGGAAAAGCTGGCCAAACGCATTGCAGCCCAACAATATCTTGTGTTAAGAGTAAACCCGGTTTCACACAAGAGTTACTAAGGTCTTGCTACCAACCATTTCTGGCTGCAACCCCCACCTCCACTACACATATAATGTAATTTCAGTGAAAAGAGTGGAACACTTCAAAAAGAAAATTCTGCAGTTCTCAAGTTACGGCATTAGGTTTTAGCCACCAGATGGCACTGTTGCCAACCCTCTGAAATGGGCCGCTCTATAATCACTTGCTTTGTTCAGTCTTGTACCATTACAACTTGTCAGACAGGTCTATAGTGTCAGAAAATGATTTAAGAAACAGTAAATTCAGCAGAAATGGTCAATCGTTGCCCACCAGCAAGTAACGATTTTGACAGTTCTGTCAGGAAACAGTTTCTTGATCTCGGGTATTAAATTTGCTTTGGGGAGAATTCCATTAGGAGTGAAGTAAAAGTCTAGGGAAGGTTTCAGAATACATACCACAGGCAGAAACGCAAATATGAGCAATTTCATTTAGTTTTAAATTATTTTAAAGTTTAATTTTATTTTTTAATATGTAAAACATTTACGTGGTCCAAAAGTCAAAATTATATACTAAATATGTATTCTCGGAGAAGTAATAGTTTTATTAATTTGTCTCAAGCCCATCTTTATAGTGTTTCTCTTGATGAAAAAGTAGAATATCTGTATAATATTTTTACTTCTCTATATTTTCTACATGAAAGGTAAAACACTATACATAGTGTTCTGTATCTTGCTTTTTTCCTATTCAAAATATGTCCTAAAGGTCAGCTAATGTTAGCTACAGAGACTCTCCTCATTCTATTTTGCCTGTGCCACTGTAATTGTTCAGCTAGTCCCTGATGATGGATATTGGGTTGTTCCCAAACTTTAAGCTGTTACAAATAGAACCACAGTGATGGCCTTATGCATGCGCTGTTTCATATTTGCAGAAGGTGAATCAGATTTCTACTGCCGTTCTAACAAAGCACCGCAAACTCAGTGGCTTGAAGCGACACAGTTTTACTATTGGATAGTTGTAGAGGTCAGGAGTCTGGTCTCACGGAGCCAAAACCAAGGTGTCAGCAGGGCTGTGTCCCTTCCAGAGGCTCTGGGGAGGAGCCCTTCCCTTGCTTTTTCTAGCTTCTAGAGAAGAATCAAATTTCTTGGCATGAACCAATTTCTTGATATGTCCCCTTCCTTTATCTTAAAAGCCGGCCGTGGTGGGTGGGGAGCATCACCTTATTCTGATCTCCCCTTCCGCCTCTCTCCTCTTCTGTAAGGTCCTGTGGATTGCCTCGAGCCCAGGATAATTTCTTTGTCTCAGTGTCCATCATTTAATCACAACTGTGAAAGCCATTTTTGCCATGTAAGGTGACTTCTTCCCAAGGGATGGGGATGAAGACGTGGGACATCTTTGGGGTGCCATTGTTCTGCCCACCACGAAATTCTACTTCAGGATGGAGTCCTAGGTTCAAAGTAGGACAGCAGGTTCAAAGGGCAAATCGAAATGTACATTTTGGCTGTTGCTAAATTCCTTTCCAACAGGATTATAGGCATGGGATATTTAAAATGTCACCCCCAAATGTCCTAGGTGAGTCAGACTGATTGTAATAGTACTTGTGAGAATACGCTAATGCACAGTTGTCAAAGAGGTAGCAGATCTCTCAGAGTAAATTAACCTGAGAGATTTCACAGACTGGCATGTGATCCCCGGCAGGTGGTCAAGGCATGTGATTACACAGGAACCGGAAGGGAGCAGGGGAGGGCCGGACAGGGAGAACCCTGGACCATTCTCGTGGTGACTGCACCAGCCAACCCAAGGGCAGATCCCTGGGGGTACAGAGTGAGGAGAGCTCTGGACCACACCCTTTACAGAAGATCCGTTTACCCTGTCTGCACTTGTTTATCATCTAGCATCATTTCTGAACACTAAGAAGCAGTAGAAATCTGTTCATCGTTATCTTGTTTAAATACGAAACAGGTTTATAATATGAATATTTCCTATCTGTAAATACCTTTGCCAGGCCCTTCTATCACCCAGGGCTTTGCCACTCAAAGGGTGGTCCCTAGAAGGCAGCACCAACATCCCCTGGGAGCTCATTGGAAATGCACAGCCTCAGGCCCCATCCTGGAGCCACTGAATCAGAATATGCTAGAGTGCAGGTGATTCAGATGCATGTTACAGCTTCAGAACCACTGTTCCAGCAGGCGTGAAAGATATCCAATTATTAATTGTCTCTATTGTAGTTGTCTGGAAATACAAGGCTATTGTTTGATTTTATTGCTGAATTGCCAGCTACGCACTCAAAAGGCAGTAACGTGAGGGTCAATGATTGTAACAACCCACATTGATCGTTGAGTGCTTCATCTGTGCCTGGCGCATATTTTAATAGCTTGTCTCATTTTGGGTTTTATTATCCCAGCAATGTATTTGAGTATACCTTATCATTTTTCAATTGTCATAGCAATGCTTCAAACTAAATTTTATCATGTTTGTGACTTATGAAATTGAGACTTTGGAAAGTTCGGTAAATTAAGCCCAAGATCACTTCACTAGTAAGTGCTAAATCTGGAATTCAAGCTCAAGTTCACATGACTCCAAAGCCCACATATCTGGTGACTCTGTACTTTGTTAAAGAAGAAATCAGTTTATGAAGTTGGGAAATACGAATATCAAGTTTATACTTAACCAGTTTTGTTTTGGGGCCTCATATTTACAATTTTTATCTACAGCACTATCATCATTTTGTTATTTTTCAAACCATTATTAAAAGAAAAGCACACGATAGGGACAGACATGATCAAGGACACATTAAATGGAAGGTAAACATCCGCTGTCTCCCTCAGCTCAGTCTTGAAATGGGTGCTTTTTAACCATATCTATCTTTAGATGTTTGGGCAGCTACCTCCAAAATCCTAAACCGCAAATGTGTAAGTAGTGACATAATTTTTGATACTATCAGTTTGCTGGGGCTGCTTGTAGTCATGCGCTGGGTGGTTTAAACTACAGAAATGTGTTTTCTCACAATTCTGGCTCTAGAAGCCCGAGATCAAAATGCTAGTGGGGTTGGTTCTCTCCGAGGACAGTGAGGGAAGAACACATTCCAGACCTCGGTCCTGTTTCTCGATGACCGTCTTCTCCCTGTGCTCCACAGAGTCATCCCCTGTGTGTGTCTGTGTCCGAATTTCCTCTTTGCATAAGGACCCCTGACTGGCTATTGGAGTAAACTCATACTAATGACCTCATCGTAACATAAAGATTCTGTCAAGAACCCTGTCTCCAAATAAAGTCACATTCTGAGACATGGGGGGTTCGAGCTTTAACGCTGGAATTTTGGCAAGGGACACAATTCAGTCCAAATTGTGAAGTAACTCCTGGGTTCCAGGAAGATGCTAGGTACCTTCAAATACATTAATTTACTTGATCCTCCCAAAATTGCCACACTAGAGGGACATTGTGATCCCATTTCATAGATGAGAAAAAGTGAGACTAAGAGTGAGGACTCATCTGGCACAAGGTCACCAACGGAAAATGAGCAAAATCAGGCTTTGAACTTGAACTGGTGTGATCTACTCGATTACGTTGCTCCTGTGTATTTTCAATGTATCTTCTCAATGATTGTCCTCCTTTGTAAATGTACTATTTTAAATCAAAACAAACCCTTCGAGCTAGGACAAATAAATGTGTTTGGCTTTCCCTGTGGGAGGCAGTGCTTCTGCTCCTGGCACCCTCGCCAGCTTCTCTGGCTCTCTGACCTTCTCTGGCGGCTCTCAGGACTTAATTCAGTGCTGCTCCCAGATTCAGACAAGGTGCGAACATCCGCTCTATCACGTTCATCTAATTAATGGGTTGTCTGGTCAGGAGGGAGTTCAGATTGTTTTGACATGTTTCATTATTTGAAAATCTTTAGAATGTCCCACGGGGCGAAATTCCTGTAAGTGGGAGATTGCATCGTAAGTGTAGAGGTTTTTGTTGTTTTGGTTTTGGTTTTGGTTTTGAGCCGAAGGGTGGAGGAAGAAGGAGAGAACATGTAGGGGTAGACAGGATATAACATAATGCGAAACTTGCTGAGATAGTGGGAGATTAATGGTGAAGATGTCCTATCTCCCGAGAGTTGTGAAACCATCTGGTCTGGAATGTAATCAAGAGGTACTTACTAGACGAGGACAGATAGAGCATGTTCCATCACCAACCTGCTAAGAGCAGTAAATGAAACCAGTAAGTGAAATCAGAAAATTGCTCACCCACATCCACGTATAGCTTATGGTTGACTTAAACGTTTAAAAATACCTGCTCTTACAGCATTACTTACAATAGCCAAGATTTGGAAGCAGCCCAGGTGCCCAACAGTGCAGGAGTGGATAAAAAGGCTGTGTCGCATTTACACAATGGAATACTATTCAGCCATAAAAAAGAAGGAAATCTTACCTTCTGCGACAGCATGGATGGACCTGGAGAGTACTATGCTAAGTGAAATAAGTGAGTCAGAGATCGACAAATGGCATGAGATTCCACTCATGTATGGAATCAAATGAACAACATAAACTACCAAACAAAATAGAAACAGGAGTACATAGAACAAACGGACAGCTGTCAGAGGGGAGGATTATTGGGAGCTCCGTTCAGAGCTCCGAGGAGGTGAAGGGATTAAGTCAAACAAACAAACAAAGGACAGACACGGAAAACAACAGTGTGGTGATTGCCGGAGGGGAGGAGGGTGAGGGTGAAGGGAGGTGGAAGACGGCAAAGGGGGGACAGTGGTGGCGGAAGGAGACTTGACTTTGAGCAGTGAGTGCACCATGCAGTGTGCAGAGGATGTTCTACAGAGCTGTGCACTTGACACATATATGGTTTGATTAACCAGTGTCACCCCAATAAATTCAATTAAAAAGGAACAAAAAAAGAAGAAGAAAAAATAAAAATAAATGCTCTTGCCTGGGCTGGTGTGGTTCAGTGGACTGAGCACCAGCCTGAGAACCAAGAGGTCGCCAGTTTGATTCCCAGGCAGGGCACATGCCTGGGTTGCAGGCCAGGTGCCCGTTTGGAGGCATACGAACGAGAGGCAACCGATCGATGTATCTCTCACACACTGCTGTTTCCCTCCTCCCCTTCTCCCTTCCCTTCTCTCTAAAAGTAAATAAATACAATCTTTAAAAAAATGCCCCCTCCCAAGAAATGAAAAGTAAGATTTTTCCTAGTAACATAGAGCATACACAGGATATGCTAGCAGAACACTAGGGTTCTAATACTGGCATGCCACTTACTACCCCAGTGTCTTGGGCACTTTAGTCTCACTGAGTGTCGGTTCATTGTCAAAGCAGCATGAGGGTTGCCATGAAGGTCAAATGAGATATATGACCTTCAAACTATATTTGTAAACTATAGGGTACTATATGTATATTAGCTATCTTTATTATGACATTGTTTTCAGCCCAAATCTAACAGAACCCACAATTATGTAGACTTGTCTAGTTTGAGTCTCTAATTTATAGATTATTCAAGCCCTTTTTTTCTTTCTCCTTTATACCTCTCGCAGGCTGTTTATTCCTTTGAAAGTATCTTAGAACCATTGTGGAAAAGGAGAAGAGCCATTAAGAATTTTTACTCTTTCATTTTTCAATTTTTTGATATTTACAGATGCTTAATGGAGAGACCGTTAAAAATAGCCCAGCTAACGAAGAGCTTGTGGTACATACCAAAGACTGCCTGTCCCATTTTAAAGAAGCTAAGCCCTTCTGATGAAATTGCCTGTTATCTGGCTTCACAAAAGTCCTGGCAGGGTCCTGGTAGATGCTGACACTTTTCATTTTTCCTGAATGCTATTAAAATGGTAGAACTTTTGGAACAGTATTCCCCTATCACCTTGATGTGCCAAGTGATGGAATAGAACGTGCGATAAGGACCTTTCCTCGATGATGAAGCACCGTGGAAACTCCTGAGCCGGCAGCTTGCAAAGTGACTGCTGATCAAGTCTCTGAGTTTCTCCTTGTCAGAGCGTCTCTGAGAGGTTCCTTGGAATAGAAAGATGTATTCATGCCTGAGAATAAAATAGTGTCCATCCTGGTATCTCTCCAATAATTAACGCATTACCTCATAGTTTATATGCAGAACGACTTCTTGTTCCACACACCAGAAAGAGGTAGTTACAATATTTCCCCTTTTCGGAGACTAGGACAGGAACAAGCAGGAGAGGGGTGGCATGGGCCTCATGGGCGTGTGTCATGAAAGCGAAGGATCTTAGCAGTGGCTGAGTCCCTGGGGGTGACTTTGATTGAGCACGGTCTGATACTTGGCTACTTAAGAAGCAACGTTTGTTAGGCTTCAACAGGCCTTGCTTTCCTGGTTTTTCAAATTCCTAGGCAGGCCTGAGGACAGTGGCTGGTCTGAGAGAGAAATGATCTGGGAGATAATAGGGTGCTCCATTCCAATTTAAGATGACTCGGGCAGCTGGTGGCCATCCACTGTCAGTACTCCCTGTGGAAATCAGTGAATTACAGTTATATATCAGGATTTTAACTAAAATCTGGCATCTGATTAACTGGAGTGAACTAATTTGGTACGCCAGCCTCCCTTTGCTGTGCACTCCCCTTTATGATTGCTTGGCTGTGATCGGGTGGATGCCAGGGAATCTGTTATTCTGACAAATGCTAATCAGAGATGGGATTCTGATTTTAAATTCAAATTCACTTGCACTATTAACTTTTCTAACATTGTGTGTGTTTTTGATGGCCTCATTTGCATGATTTTTTAAATATGCATTTCTGGCTACAATTTTATCTGAGTGTTCTTTTACGTGCATGTCTTTAGAGGAAGTTTTTTCTTTTTCTGAAGGGTGGGAAAAGATGATCTACTTGCAACAGAGATGCTGAGGTTGAACTCCACATGACCATGGGATGATTGTCATCAGGACAGTACAGCACAGAAGTTAGGGCCACTGGAGTCCAGTTGCCTGGTCTTAAATCCTACCTCCTCCCCTGGGTCTATATCGCGTGCATGTGATGTAACTGTAGAGAAGTGATTTAACCCCACAAGCTCTTCCCTCACCTTTTAATGGAGGTCATAATAGCATTGCCCAGGTAGGGTTTTGAGAAAATTCCATTCAACTGGCACATGTGTCAGCCAGCTTTTGCCAGGTTACACTGCAGTAACAAATGACCCTGCAACGGCCTTGGCTGACGACTACAGAGACTCGTTTCTCGTTCGCGCTCGCGCCCATCAGGGGTTGGCTCCGCCTCCACTCCATATTCTCTTCAGTCTGAGACACAGCTGAAGGGGCAGCCTCAGCCGGTCTCAGGACAGGGGGGAAATGGGGATGAAAGAACTTACTGTGGTTCTCACAACCCCTGCTTGGAAGCAGCCTGCGTCACTTCCACTCCTGTTTAATCGGCCAAAGTAAACCATGGGGCCAAGTCTGGTCTCAGTGCGTGGGGACAGTCATCTACCCTAACACGCAAGGCACTTTGGAACATAGTAAAAAGGTACTTTTTTGTTTTCAAATCCTACTCACAAAAGGTTTAGGATTCATATTGTCCTTTACAAAGACAGGAAAGACCAATATTTATGTGTGTGTCAAATGGTTGTACACGTTAAGAGCAAACTAAGGCGCTGAGCACTTCCTCTGAACTTCCCAGGGGAGGTGGTCTACGGAGAGCCCATCGCTGCGAGTCTGGGCACCGACGGCACGCACTACTGGAGCAGAGACTGGCGCCATGCGGCCCACCACGTCATGGGACCGCCCCTGAGACCGGACCCTTCGACGCCTGACTACCTCATGAATCTCTTGGCTAAGTAATCATTTAGCAAATGATCGTGAAGTGTTTTGCCAAAATAAGGTGCCTTCTGAGGCTCAGGTCTGAGTGTAGGAGATCTTGACTTCCCAGTATTCTGTTCTTCTTGCCCCGACAGGCTCTGGGCACTGTCCTGCATGTGGAGACCTAAAAGCACTGGCTTAATTATCTTATAACATATTGTCAAAAATCTCTCCTGGAGCTGAGAAATCAGATTCTTTGTATTGAAACTTTACTTTCCCCTGGTTTTTTTTCCCCCTAATCTTTTCTATCTCTTGTTGCCTAGAGTCAGATCTCTTCGTTACGCTTTATTTTTATCGTTTAGAATGTCCTTGAATTTTTTTCTGTGCTGATATAACCTGGGGGTCATAGGCACCTGTTGTCCAGGTATCCTACATTATAATAGAGGGCAGAGTCACTGCAGGAAAGGCAAAATCCTACCCTTAAGTAATATATCCGCACAAAAGGCCATCCAAACTATTTTCAAAGACATTACTGCCTAGGATATTATGATCAGTTTTTTTTTCTTTAGAATTACACCATTCATGGACATCCTATCACTCCCCTTTCCCAGATTCCCAGATCTAAGTTAACAAAGAGTTTTTCACAACAGACTATATACAAGAGTTCACTTGCCCTTTCCTTCAGCTTCCTTCCTCCTTCCTTCACACTCCTACATCCTCAAGATTATTCAGAAGTCAGAGCAGGATTCCTGTCGCCAGTGATGTCCACATCCTCGGCCAGCATCAGGTCTCTGCTCACCTCAGGGTTCCCAGGTGGCCAGGGGCTGCCCGGGAGGCCTTGCCTCTGCTCACGCGGATCACCACGGCGCGCCTCTGCACGGTGCTCCCCTCACAAGGAATTTTCACTTGAATTACTGCCAGTGACCCTGGCATAATTGTTATCAAGTACATATAATGATCAATTTCTACATGAGAAATTGAACATCGGACAAGCTAGTAATCACAGAACCCGTAAGTAATGAAAGTGAGCCTAGAATGTACCATCACGCTTCTTGTAAGAGCATTCTCCACAAGTGCTTCCTAGACGAGGGATGGGGGTGGGTGAAATGTGTCCTTGAGAAAGCTACTCCTCTTCCACTGCAGCTTCCTCCCCTCAGCTGAGAAGGGAGTCAGGAGAGTAGGGTGGGTTATGGGAGTTTCCTCCTGACCTGCTCTGTCTGCTCACTGCCGTCACTCTGTGTGTTTTTCTCTCACAGTGGTGATCTGACCACCACGGGGACGGACCACTGCACCTTCAACACCTGCCAGAAAGCCCTTGGGAAAGACGATTTTACTAAGATTCCTAATGGGGTGAATGGGGTCGAAGACCGGATGTCAGTGATATGGGAAAAAGGCGTGGTGAGTTCCACAAGATCCAGCCTGCTCTGCCTACCTCTTTGGCCCGGATCTGGTCTGTTTTAGGACGAGTGTGCCTTAAACCTTCATAGAGAAGCTTTTCGGTGGCTTTTCCTGTGGTGGAGACTGGGACTTCACACCATCGTCACCGCCGCCCCATGCCCCAGGACAATGATAAGACGTAATTGTCTTTTCTGCATGGTTTGGCTTAGAGGACGCATTGCACTGTGCTGCACACGTTAGGAGGCAACTGCAGACTGGGTGTCAATGTAGATTCTTGAAGCCTTTGGTTTCTCATGTTCTTGAGTCCCAGACTCTCGTGTGTCATCGATATAAAGTCTTGGAATGATTAAGAATACATGAAGGAATTTTATTCTGTTTAAGAATACATGAAGCAATTTTTCATGAAATCTTTGTAGATGTCCTTTTTAAGAACCCTTGGATGTCCTATTTTTAAAATAGTTGTATGAAGGCACATAAGTAAAAATTTAAAGTCTAGAAAAAGATTTTTAAAAGTCTCATAATTTAAAAATTCCTCCGTGAGGATGGAAAAGAATCAAGTAGCTAAACGTTCATACATTAACCGGTCTGGCTGGTTGACCTGAGCAGTTGTAAAGGTTAGCAGGAGAGGTCTGCCCATTAGACCGGAGGGTCCCCGTTACCGTGCTGTTCACACCTATCTCCTAGCACCCCCCTTAGGTGACACATCAAGCGACACATCAATCGTCTCATCCCTCAGAATCCCCTACACATACCACGTAATTCTAACTCTAATCACTTACCAGCTCTCATCAATTTTATTTCCGAAATGCCTCCTCATTTCCATGTCCACGTCTGCCACTCTACCAGAGGCCCAGCTGTCCTGTGGATGACTGTGGTCATCCCTGCAGCTGGTGCCCTGACCTTGAGTCTTTCTTGCTGCAATCTAGTCTCTGCCCCAGGACCAGAGTCGCCTTTCAGAACTGGAGGAGTGCTCATGCTACTTCCCCCCCAAACCCTTTAGTTTTCTCCATTACTTACAGGATGTTTGAACAATTTATTTATTTATATATATTTATATTTAAAACATCTCTATATCTGTCTTCTAGTAATAATCTTCTTCACCCCTTGTCTTCTACCCTGGCTCTAACCATCCCAGATGACTTCTCTTCTCCTTCTTTTTTCTGAGATTTTCTTGGTAACAGTCCATCCTTTCTCTTCAAACTTGTGTTATCACGATGAGTATCTTCATTACCACAGGTTTTCATAACCTCTTGCATTTCCTAAGTATGTAAATGGCTTAAAAGTAATTAAATATTTCTTAGTAACATACATAAAACAATGTTATTTTCTTTTTATTTTGTTTTTTAATAATTTTTGTAAAGATTACATTTGTTTATTTATTTATTTATTTTTAGAGAGAGGGGACAGGAGGAAGAAAGAGAGGGAGAGAAACACCGATGTGCAAAAGGAACATCTATCTGGCAGGGGTGTCCAATCTGTGGCCCACGGGCTACACGCAGCCCAGCATTGCTGTGAATGCGGCCCAACACAAAATTATAAATTTACTTAAAACATTATGAGTTTTTTTTGTGATTAGGTATCACAATGTATTTAATGTGTGGCCCAAGAAACTCTTCTTCTTCCAGTGTGATGCAGAGATGACGAAAGTTTGGATCCCCCTGAATTGGTTGCCTCTCACATACCCCCTCCTGGAGACCTGGCCCACAACCTAGGCATGTGCCTTGACCGGGAATCAAACCAGCAACCTTTCAGCTTACAAGTTGGCACTCATTCCACTGAGCCACACCAGCCAGGGACAGTGTTATTTTCTGAAACTTATTACAGGAAATGTTGAAGGGACTTGTTTAAGAAAAAGAAGAAAATCAAAACTATGAACATTAAAATGGCAACAGGTTCACAACTATCAACAACTGAATCTAAAAAAACAAATTAATCAAACAACCAGAACAGGAACAGAATCATGAAAATGGAGATCACATGGAAGGTTATCAGTGAGGAGGGGAAGGGGAGAAGGTGGAGGAAAAGGCACAGGGAATAAGAAGCATAATAGGTAGGCACAAAATAGACAGTGGGATGTTAAGAATAGTACAGGAAAAGAAGAAGCCAAAGAACTTATATGCATGACCCAAGGACATGAACTAAGCGGGGGAGGGATTGCTGTAGGGAATAGCAGTACTGGACAGAAGGGGGCATAGGGAGAGAATTGAGACAATTGTAATAGCATAATCGATAAAATATATTTGAAAAAGAAAAAAGGATGATTTACTTATGGGAATATTAGTTTCAGGACACAGTTCTTAATTTATGTTAAATAAAGATGCTTTGATAATGAAATAAACCTTAAGGTTGCTTTTACCATATGTATATCTATAGAGATAAACTCCCAACATCAAAAAAATAATAATAATTTTACTGGGATCACAGCCCTCCAATGTCTGTCCATTTAAAATCTTTTGTGCTAGACTGCCCATGATTGTCAAATCATGTAAAGTTAATTTCACAAAATGGAAACTCTTGAGCTGATTCTTTCTCTTTCAAAAAGTGTTGCCACCTAATTTAACGGTCTATCTTACCATAACTCCATAATATCCCATCCAATGTCTGAATCTTGGGTCTACAATAAATAAGCCAGATCATAAGTGTGGTAGGTGGTGGTGGTGAACTTTAAGTGAGAATTGGAAATACCGTTGCTAACATTTAGCTGATTTAGCTGTTGTCCGTGATTCTGGGAAGGATGAAAAAATGGTGGACATTTTTTTTTTAAGTGAGTATTTTTGAAAAGAGGCAACTGATCAATGCTTCTCTCTGGCACTGATGTTTCTCCCTCTCTCTCTCTGCCTCCCTTGCCCTCTCTCTAAAATCAATGAACATATCCTTGCGTGAGGATAAAAACTTTTTAAAAGAGAAATTAGATGCTATTATTCTATTTGGTTCTTAGAGATACATGTATTGTACTTTGATTGACAGATTTTAAAATATTGATCATTAGAACAAATGTATTTTCTTCCTTGAATGGTTTTGCAGCACAGTGGTAAAATGGATGAAAACCGATTTGTGGCAGTTACCAGCACAAATGCAGCTAAAATCTTCAATCTCTATCCAAGAAAAGGAAGAATAGCTGTAGGATCAGATGCTGACATTGTGATTTGGGACCCAAAAGCTACAAGGTAAGCCTGAGTTCTTGCATTTCTTGGATTCGTGATGCAGAAAAAGTACTAACGGGCCAAGAAATTATGCATTGGCCTTAATCAGCCATTTCTCATTAGGTGATTTATTTAGCCAGGCTCAGGAATTTTGAGCCTGTGCACAGTAGAAAGCTTTTGATGTACAAATATTCCTTTGTTTTTCTTGGCATAGAAGATGCAAAAGTTGTGTTGCTTTCCGCTCCCTGAAAATAGATATATGTATAAAACCAGTTTGAATTTACCACTTCAGTGCTTGGCAAGCACCCGCATTGACTCGGAGGAAAGGTACAGCAAAATGAAGAAAATAAAAGGCTTCGTCTGAAAGGACTGAATTGAAAACTCAAAATAATTACAGCCTCTTTAAAGCTTTCAGATAGAAAAATTCCAGCACAAAGGATGTCACTTGCAGTTAGCCATATTTTCCAGTTGAGTTCATCTGGAGCCTATCATTCCCAGTAGACTCCAGCTTTTTGTTTTCAATTTCCATAATTCTATGTTAATATTGCAGGTCTGGCAAATTCCAGCTCAGGAACACGTTTAGTAGGAGCTGAAGCTCTGCTAATTTCTCCTCATAGCGTGTCAGCCCGGGCAACACCTGCATCCTGATTTGTGTTTTTAAAATAAACTTTGCAGTTGTAATGGAGAAAATTCCAAATACTTTCACATATTACATGTGCATGCATGTATAGGTATTGTTTCAAAGTCTATTAGATTTTTCACTGTAGTAAGAAGCAAAAAAAAAGTCTGTCATTTCCTGGAGGGTGATATTATATCACAAAGACCCAGTTTCAGTTGAAATGCTCCTGGGGTATGCGCTGGGGAAAAGAAGACCACTGGAGAAACACTAGGCTGCCATTGCTATGAGCTTAAAAACAAACCCCAAAGATTCCCTTAGAAAATATTTGTGTTTTTGAGCTGGACACTCTCCACTCTCCTCTGAGCACTCCTTGTCCCTACTCAGGGACCAGTTCATGGCTGGCAGCCCTTGGTCCTTGCAAGCAGCCTTTAGTGAAGTGTATCACCTCATTACTGGTTTAGGATCCAAGCAGATGCAGTAAATGGTGGTGTGAACATCTTATTTACATAAGATACCAACAAAGGCACAACTCTGAGTCTTCGTTATGTTAATGAGGAACCACTGCCCATTTAAGGACAAAATACCTAGTTGTCAAAAGATTCCAACCTGTTTCCCTGCCTAAGAAATGCATGCGTCATGCAGTTGGTCAGAGCGTCCTCCCATGACCAAAGTGTTGCAAGTTCAATTCCAGGTCAGGGCACATACCCTGGTTTCAGGTTTGATTACCGGCCCCAGAGCGTACAGGAGGCAGCCAATCGATATTCCTCTCACATTGATGTTGCTGTCTTCCTCTCTCTCTAAAAGCAATGAAAAAAAATGGTCTCAAACAAAATGCAGGTAGGTTCTCTTCAAGGCTGGAAAAATTGTCCTTGGAAAGACAATGGGAAAAAATTGCTGGGATTTGGATTGGTCGGTGGATGAATTGAGCATGCTGTGGTTAGAAAGCTCCCGGTGTTCTCAAAGTCACTCTGCCAAGGCTGTTTTGCATGGCAGGGGTCTGCCCAGGGGCATTTCTGCTACAATGCAAACAATGTAGGCAGCCACAAGGCTGGGACCAGATAGGTCTTTTGAAATGACTGGTGATTTAAAGAGCTCCTGAGACTGAATCAGAAAATCTAGGAAACTTTAAATGGGGAAAAACCATCACATGGAAGGAAAATTTGTGGAAAACGGTGTTGTGAAGCATAGCATCTAAGAGGGTCATAATAATGGTTATAATTAGTAATAATTTGCCTGTGTGAAGCTCCCAGTAGTCTTACAAATGCTTTGGTGCCTAGACTGTGATTTACAAGGTAAGACAATCACAATCACCTTGTGGCCATGAGGACACTGGAGCTCAGGAGGGTGTGTGACAGCTTTGAGATCAGAACCCTGACCCAGGGTCTTTGACTTTGCAACCTCCTCTGCTTTCCGTGTGTTTCGGTGCCACGCTGTGTGTCTCCTGATGTCACAGCAGAGCCCTCTGGAGTGTCTCGTACTGGTTGTCCGCGGTCTGTGTTTGCTTTCAATCAAGTAGTCCAGTAACAAAAAGCTTTTCTGGATTTGATTCTGTTCTTTATCCCTCCTCTTCAAAGGTAAGAGAGAAATATAAATACTCTAGTGAAAGATGTGACTGCACCACCATCTAATTCTTGATAGGGAGAGCACAGGAGGCCCTTCCCCGTGGTTCTCTTTTTAACCCGGCACCTGGGTGTCTCCGGCAGCCCCCAGCCTTAAGGTCTCCTTGGGCGTCTTAATTTCTGGGGACGGCCGAGGCTCAGGTGTGAAGCACTGCCTTCCGCAGACAACTGGACAAAGAGAAATGACCTGGACCTAAGGTTATGCATAATTCACTTACTTTTTTCACCACGTGTATTGTTGCTTGGAAGATATTTATAGGCTGTGATTATGTCTCCTTGAGTCATGTTTGTTGACGATATAAATTTAGACCACTTTCTCACGTGTTAGCTACCGGTTTCTATCACATTGTTTGTCTTTCCTTTCCTGTTCGGTTGTTTCTGAATAGCACCTAATGAAACCAGATGTTTAGTTTAATTTTCAAAGATCTATATATTACCTGCTGTATTCCCCTCACTTCCAGTCTAAGAATAACCAACTTAAGGTCAAAGTACAAAGCTTTTGTGCTTTTAAGTTGCTTTCTATTTCTTTCATCAGTTCTTTGATATTTCTTACATAATACCTGCCCTTATAACAGTAATGAAAACAGAAAAGCAAACACTTACATGTTCATTTATGTGTCTTTTGGGGTGAAGACCCGTACTGGCATTTAATTATCAGCGCTAAGTCTTCTCCCCCTATGCCTGCTAGTCGTGTGCACCTAGGCTCACGTCAGAAACAGGCACCGCCTGAGGGCCTGACGTGTGGCTCCCGCCCAGCCCCGGCACTGCCCAGGAGGGGGAGAGCCACACAGGTCACTTAAAGTCTCTGCATGCCCACTGTCTCATGGGTAAAACAGGACTATTAATAGTTGTTCTGCCTACTCTGTATTTCTCTTAGACTCTCATGAGGTAACGTATGTGAAGATGCTTTGTACCCTAAGAAAGGGCTCCACAAGCCAGGTGTTACTGTGGTTCTTTCTCTCAGTCTAGTTTGCCTGGCGTCATTCTTCGCAGCTCCTTTTCACTCCCAGGTGTTCTCAGCTGTTTCCCCTGCGCTGACCAGGGAGGCAGGTGAACCGTAGGGCTGTACGTCTCTGGCCCCCAGGCTCTTTAAAAAAAAAACTGGAAACCTTCTTGTTCCTCTTTTCTTTGCTTTAAACTTTTTCTTTTTTGAAAAAATGAGGAAAGATTATGTTTACTTGGCAGAATACATTAAAATAATTTCATCCCTTTTGGATTTCTTTGAGTTATTCCATTTCTTGCTTCTCTAACCCTTCAATTTAAGAATTTTCCCTAAGCCACCATCAGAATTTGTTCCAGTGTGGTTATTCATCTTTTTCAGCGTGCAAATTGCAGACTGTGGGAAACAGGAGGGAAGGGGCGGTTGACGAGGAGGCTTTGTAGAATAATGAATCTGAAAGGGTGTTTGGACAAGGAGAAAGCGCGTTTGTCGTGGCTCATACTAAAAGAGAGAATTTTGCAGACACTGGGTGCTAGTTCCTTATCTAGGTTGATCACGGGCCAGCCCTCCGTGTTCTTGGCGGTTGTAAGAAAGTTGCTCATCCGGGCAGGCTGTTCCTGACCGATGTGTACCCTGCAGACCCCAGCGCGGACCTGCCTGGTGTGCGAGGGTACGTCTGGCCTGGTCTAGCTGTGCACACATCGCCCACAGCTCCCCACCGCCTCAGACGCCGCCGCACCGCCTCACAGCCGGCCCCTCTCCCCTCGCAGACTGAGTTCTGTTGGCTGCTGCGCACCTCTTACAGTACTGTGCCACAGTTTTTTCGTTCTTTCTTTTTTTATTGAATGTATTGGGGTGACACAGGCTAATAAAAACATACGGATTTCAGGTACACAATTCTGCAACACATCCTCTGTGCACTGTACTGTGTGTTCGCCACCCCCAGTCGTCTCCTCCCATCACCATTTATGGCCTTCATACCCTCCTCCACCTCCCCCCTCAAGCCCTGCAACTGCCACACTGTTGTCCATGAGTCTTTCTCTTTTTCTCTTTCTGTTTTGCTCAAGTGCGCCACCCCCACCCCAAGCTTCTCCCCCAACCATCGGCCTGCTCTCTACCTAGGAGTCTGTCTCTAGTCTGCTTGTTAGTCTGTTCTGTCGTTAGATTCCACATGAGGGAAATCATATGCCTGTTCCACAGTCTTTACTCAGTGTTTTTGTCTCTCATTACCATTCTTTAGTCTAATCCCATTTTTTTTAAAGTGTTATATTTTAGACTGTATTTAGAGTTACAGGGAAGTCTCGAAGATAGTGTCGAGTTCTCATATACCTCACACTCAGTCTCCATTGTTCTCTCACATTACAGGTACGGTACAGTTGATGGACCATGGAGATACATTATTATTCACCAGAGTCCATACCTTACTGAAATTTGTGTAGATTTTTAAATCCTTACCCAAGGATATGTTTATTGATGAGAGAGAGAGAAGAGAGAGAGAGAGAGAGAGACATCATTGCCATCCCCCACCTGTACCCCCATGAGAGATCAAACCAGCAACCTGGGTTTGCGCCCTGACCGGGAATCAAACCCGTGACCTTTTGATGTACAGGATGATGCTCCAACAAACTGGGCAACACGACCAGGGCAAAATTTCTTTAGTTTTTGCCTCGTGTTCTTTTTCCCACTCCAGGAGCCATCTGGGACGCCACATTACCTTAGGCATCCTGTTTCCTTAGGCTCCTCTCTGTGGTCTGTGACAGTTCTGTTGACTTTTTTTTTGGTGTTTGATGACCTTGACCATTTTGAGGAGTACTAGTCAGGTATTTTGAAGAATGCCCCTCTGTCT